CGATATTCCTTAATGGTGTTTCCCTATATTTACTAACTTGTTCTTTCAGAAAAATAATGTGTACATTCCATAAAATATATCCAGCGGATGGCAACTAGTATCCTCAACAAGTCGTTTTACCGTCCACTTAGTAACTGATGGGTTTTGCTGCGATAACACGAGATTCGCTGCGCCAGCGAGTTATTTTTCTCCGTGTACGCATTCAATTTTCTCGACCGACCGATCGAGCGCGCGACAGCGATTTCGCAGTGATACCCGCCAGAATGCCCCGGCATCGCGATCGCGCGATCCGTGAGGTATCCACGCGGCTCTGTCGCGGCGGGAAGGAAACCGCTCGGAGATTTCGCGACCGGCCACGTCCTCGAGTAGTCCGGCTGGCTCTCGTCTCGCGAGTTTTCCACTCGGTTTACAGCGCATAGCTAGACCCGGGCGAGAGGGGGGAAACGAGCGATGGATGATGTCACGCACTTGCGGTTGATAGCCGCAATCTCTCTGCGAGGTGCGTCGGCACGATCGACATTCGAGATTCGGACTTGGCACCGCCGGGCTGCATCGCGTTTTATAGCGCGTTTTACTGCGTGTGCTGCGGTGCTGACCAGTGTGCTCTTTCTCTCTCTCTCTCTCTCTCGCTTTCGCTCGCTCGTTCTCTCTTTCTCTCTCTTGTACCCCGGGTTCCCTCGCGTATCCACACTCCGGCCACGATCCTCCTCGCTCCTCTGTCCTCCTCTCTTTTCTCTGTAAAGGAGGCACGACCAGCGCGGCGCAGGGTCACGGCCGGACATCGTCTGCCGTACTCTTTCTCTCTCTCCTTCTCTATCTCTCTTTCTCGGTGCTCTACACCCACACTACATCTGTTCTGCCTGCGTAGCGCGTTCCCCCTTCTCTCTCTCCCCCCTCTCTCTCTTATTCTGTCTTTGCCTCTCTCGCTGTGCACTCCCGTGAAGCTGAATTTCACTGTGCGCCGAATATGAGCCATCGCGATCTCGCGAGGACTCGTCTCGCCTTCGCTTCTGTCTATGCGAAAACTAGCGATGAGTGCGTGCGTGTCCCCGTATATTCCTCTCTCTTTCTTTTTATCCGTTAACCGTTCAACGCATAACAAAATCATTAATATCATCGAAACGTCGGAACGAAAACGCGGAAGCAATTCAGTGCCATTATTGGATTTGGAGTCACGATCCGAACGAAGATGTGAGCGTGCGGGGGACGAATTAGCGACGAAAGTAGCGACGGTCGAATAAAGAACTCACTTGGAAAAGCGATTTTCCTAAGCGGAAAAAGTGTGAGGGGACGACTCCTTTGAAAACGGCGTGTCATCACTCGAGTTAACTATCGAAAATTCCTCGTAATGGGCGTTTCCAGACGAAAGATACACGAGTCTGGGGTTTTCATGTGCGCTCGGCGCGCGCGCACACACTTACACACTTACATGCACACACATAGACCCTTTTTTCCGATCAAATCGCTGTTTGTCCAGGGCGACCAGGTGCAGCGACGACTGGTAGTTCCGGGATTTTCCTCGGTTTTCCGAGAAAACCGGTTTTTTTTCGCTCTACTACCTGACCATATAGTTTTCGGTTTTCGGCGCAGTTGGTTGACGTCGTAAGCTTTCCCACTGCGTCTCGCTACCTACCGAATGTCACCTTTAGAACAATCGATGATAGGCGGGACCGTTCTGACCGCAAATAAATCACTCGGAGCAGTCGTACACAATAACTTTCGATATTTCACGCTGCGTAGCGAAAAACGAAGTGCGTAGACGATGCTACGTCATGGAACCTTGGCAAGGTGCACAGAAAGGAGACTCGGTTTGTGTAATCGATGATTTCTGTTGTCCGGGAATGTCAGATAGGAACTCGCTCGTAGAAACAAACAAACTTTCTGTAAGGGAAGTTCCTGTTCAGTCAATTGTCCTGTTATCTTAAATTTTTAACGCGTCCTATTCTTCAGACGATTATCTTCCGTCACACTAACCGTCGGGATGCTGTGTTTGTCACCGAGTTTTTGTCTGGTCCCCATTTCGTCACACGAACTAACGTTTCCTTTCTGCGCACGTAGAAGGTGCACAGGGACAAATCATTTTGCCGTTACAGCGAAACCGTCGTTATCCCACTGCATATTCACTGCGATCTCGCGATGAAATTTAATTGGCATAACCAATCAAATTAGCGAATTATCCGTAACTAGAGAAGAAACAGTTTTGCGTTAACAGAACAAAAAATATCCGGCTGAGTGTATTTATCTTTAGGACACGTTAATTTGCTGTTAGGGCAAAGAGGGAAGTGTTTTCCTACATTTACAAATTTGTTCCTCATAACAAATTAATTTGTAGATTCGGCAAGATAATCCGGGGAACGGCAATTAATATTCCTAATAAATCCGTTTTGCCGTCCATAAAATAACTGACAGACTTCGTCACGACGGGATACAATTTATTGCGCCGGCAAGTTATTTTTCTCCGTGTAGAAAGGAGCGCATCGTAGATCCGTGACAGAAGTAGACAATGAGAAATGACGAAAGCATCGTCGGAAGTAACGACGCGCTTTTCTTACTATTTTTTTTTCCTCTTTGTAACGAGGTCACAAAGACGTCACATTCGCCGAGAAACCCACGCGATCGCGGCCGAAACGGAGCTCTCTCTTTCTCTCCCTCTTTCCCGCAGCGATTCTGCGACTTTTGTCAATCACCTCCGCTAAGATCGCGCGCCCGAGGCGTTGTGCGGAGTCGCGAGAATCGTGCGAATCAACGTGTCCGAATTCTCTTGGCTACCTGACGCAGACCGAACGAGATATTTCGACGGTGACTCACAGGGGAGCAACGACCGCAATCGATGATGGGATTTTCGCGCGATATGGTGCAATACTCGCGAAATGATCATCCGAGATTCTCAGGAGACTCGGCGAATTCTTGAGACGGGAAGTCCGCTGGTAAGCGGCCCGTCATTCCGACCGTCCTGACGTCAAACAATTCTAAGCTACACACGGAAAAAAGTTTGGTTGGATTTACCAGGCGATGAAGAATCAACCAAACGCGTTTCGGTCGAAAGAAGTCGAATTTCCGGCTCTTATGAACCGAATTCGGTTCTTCTATCCGGCAAATTATGTAGCTTAGAATTGCTTGACGTCAGGACGGTCGGAATGACGGGCCGCTTACCACCGGACTTCCCGTCTCAAGAATTCGCCGAGTCTCCTGAGAATCTCGGATGATCATTTCGCGAGTATTGCACCATATCGCGCGAAAATCCCATCATCGATTGCGGTCGTTGCTCCCCTGTGAGTCACCGTCGAAATATCTCGTTCGGTCTGCGTCAGGTAGCCAAGAGAATTCGGACTCTCTCTTGAAAACGCGTTTGGTTTGTTCACTTTGTCAAGTGAGTTCAACCAAACCTTTTTTTTTTCCGTGCATTTCTTTAATACCGGGAGTGCACACGACGCGAATACGCTCGGGAATTTTCGATCCGAAATCGCGTGCACGAAAAGACGCTCTTCTCGGGATGGGCTGTGACGTGCGAGGGGGATTAATCAGCCAGCAGCGGCGCGGAAATTAAAATGTCACACACGAGTCCCTCGCGTATTTCTTGCGCTGCTCCGAATTGTTCCCCGGCGCAACCACGTGTTGCACCCCGGAATACTCTACTAGCCGAGATATTATCGAGCGGCCTTCGCTGCGCGCCGCGTTTATCTCGTTCGTCGGCGGCTTTTTCAGCGATACCTTCGACCGTCTATCCGATATGTTAGTTTCGCAGATTCAGTGGGATTAGCGACTTGAGCGATTCACGAGAGCTTTAGCGAGGCTAGTAAGCTCTCACGTCGCTTGGGCTTTTTGATCAGTGAGTGAGTCGGGAAATTGCTTTTTTCGATCAATTAGATATATTTATTGAACATTTCGTCATTTCAATGTTTACAAAGTGCCGGGTCTCGGCTCGCACATTGATTCGCTTATCGTTCTACATTGTTCACACACAATTTTCGATTCGATTACAATTTTCCTACTCTAAACTTTCCTAATGTAAACGTAAAAAATAGAACACGTCGCTCCGGGTTTACACAATTACGCTCCCACCCTTCGGCGAACATCCCGCGCTTTCGGCGCTTTAAAAAACAAAAAAAAGAAACCTATATCTCGACTGTCATGCGACTCGTCAAACGACCGATGGTGATGGTCTTACAATAGTCATATGTAAAAAAAAAAAGTACAAATTGGCAAATCCTCATCTACCGACATCATTGCTCTCGGCGCCTGCCTGTATCCTTTCGATCATCGCATTGTGATTCATCTCGAGAAATCTCACGCTAAAATTTAAACGCTCCTCACGAATCGTCGCCGTCAGGACGACTCCTCGTACGCTTTCGCATTCTCTTACGCTCTCTTGAAAACGCCAATTTTCCTCTTCATGGCATCATGAGAGGTACGAACAACCTTACGGCTCTCGACCACGATTTAATCTCTAGATACAATTTTGGACAAATTTCTGTGTCACAGCTGATCGAACAGTAACAATCAAGTCGCCGTATACACGGAGGGAAAAGTCTGGTTGAATCAAGCTGACAACACAAGCGAACGAATCGCGTGTCTTGGTCGAAGGGAACGAACTTTCCCGGCCATAAGAACCGAACTTGGTTCGTACGAGCGAGAAATCCCTCGAACCCTCGAAATCATGTTTGTGATTTTACATTCGCTCGCGTTGCCAGTCCGATTCAACCGGACTCGTTCTCCGTGCAGTATCAAATCTCCGATAAGAAACGTAGGGAACGCAGTTTCCTACACGCGACAAAAGTCGGTCTAACTGTCAGTCATTGGCTGGCTGGCTGGCTCGCTCGCTCGCTCGCTCGTTAACTAACCCGGTTAGCTAACCAGTAAGCTAATTATCTAGCTCTCGCAGCGTCCGACTTCCTGATGATTGAGCCCATCGCGCGCTCAACGATCCAACCCTTCGAAGCGCGCGTAATCGCACATTTCTATGTACGTCAGTATAAGAAATAATAAACGGAGAGACTCACGATTTCGTGACGGATGTTGGGCATTCCTGCTGCGAAGTGCTCGGTGCAGGGCTGCGTAGAGGTCCAGCATCAGCGTCATCTGATGCGAGTCCGCCTCGCCGTCGGTGGGCAGCGCGAAGGGTATAGCCATGCCTGGTGTGTTGATTCCGGTCTTCTTCCTCCTCTCTTCTACCGTCGTCGATCGCACGCGACCGTCCCGAACTCCGTCAGTGACCTTTGACTTCGGCCCCACCGGTCTCGCTGTCGACGCACTGTAACCGAACCAAGCAACGTTCGCGGTTTAGCTCACTGAGCGCACTCGAGAAAAAATCTGACGTCCCTCCTCGCGCACAAGTTCGTCCGGCGAACGAAATCGTCGCGGAGAGTGTCTCGCTGCGTGACGCGACCGATATATCTCTATCTATCTAGGCTAACGCACGCACGCACGCACAGAATCGCGGACGCGTTACACGCACGTGACCGTACAGTTCACCGGCGCACGCTCTCGGCGTGCATCTCGTCGCAGATCGCACGTGGGTGCGATGTGCGCGCACGCAACGCCGATTCGGAGGCGATCCGTCCACTTGCCAGACGATCCCTGTCGAAGGGTTCTCGCGCGGTGTCTCTCGAGCACGCTGCGAGAGGTCGATGATCCTCCTCTCGCGCGCGCGACTCGTTGGAGTCACACTCGGTTCGACGCGGTCACGACGACGTACGAACTTGTCTCTCTCGCTTTTTGCGTCGCGCGACGAAACTTGTACGACGAGCGGCTGTCGCTTCTTACCTTGGAACACTGACAGAGAACTCTCTCTCTCTCGTGAGCACAGAGCACGGTGTGCGGAACTTCGCAAAGTACAAGTCCCCGAGAACACGGGGGGAGGGAGCGCTCGTTTTTTTATTCCGAGCGATCTCCGATCGCGGTTCAATGTCCTGTGACTCGGTTGGGCTGCCTAGCACCGTGCGCTTCACGTGACAAGGGTAAATGCAGCACAGACCACAAATCTCGAGCACGTGCGAGTTGCCTCGGGGTTGCGCGCTGACACGTCTCACCGCGATGTCGGGGCTGGCGACGCGACGTACACCGTGACGCAAAACTGTGTCCTCTTTGGCGCGATGTATCACACGCGGGGCTGCGCGCACGAAACGAAGAAAGAGCCGATGTGCGGGGATAACACGAGATCTCGACTGAGCTCAGGTAACGAAAAACACGTCTACACTCCTCGAGGTCTGGCGCGGTAATGATTCTGTGCTTTCCTAGCCACTCGGTACGCACGTTCTGCCGGCTCCCCCCCACTCGTCCCGTGCGGACGATCGGTCGCGCGGTGGGGACACGTGCGCACGCAGCCGCCGAGAGGCTGTAAAGTAGGAGTGGGGTGGACAGTCGATTTACTCGGGGTGGGGGACGCGCGCGAGGAGCGTGACAATACATTGTCTACTGCTCCGAGTGGTTACGTTTGAGCACCAACAACCACTGCGAGAGACCGTGTGTGTTTTCAGTCGCCAGATAGCCGCGACGCGCGTCCAGAATTCCGTATGAAAGAGAATTTAATACGTCGAAAGGGCGCTTCGGGTTTTCTCAGACTCGTCGGAAAAAAGAAAACTGCCTCTATCGTAGCGGAAGAACTACAGTTTTACAGTTTCGGAAAAAGTCATCTTTCAGCGGATTCCTTCTTCCATTTCTGTTTCAAGGGTGCAGACATTTGTTTCAGAGGAATGTCTATGGTTAAAAACCTGCTATATTTTTCGTTTTTCTTGTAAAGAAGAGAAACTTGAAAAATCCGCGGAAAAATGAGGAAAAACGATTGTTTTCTGAAACTTCGAAGCTATACGCTGAGAAAAGTGTATTTAAAAATTTTCTTTTAGGATATAAGGTTTATTTCTCAGAAATAAATCTTACTTTTGTGAAATAAGCTTCTCCCTCTCTTTCTTTCTCAAATAAATTTTATATCCCACAAATAAATTTTTAAGTATTTTTTCTCAGTGTAGAAGGAGCGACCGCCCGACTAATCAAACTCTCCGTTTTTTTATAATTTTCCGAGATTCGTGAACATCGAGAACGTAAATATTTTTATAGATAATTCAGATCCTCGCATTTTTCATCCGCAATTAAATCAGACGAAGTTGCTCGCGCGCGAAACTGCCTCGGCGAATATCGACGTATGCGGCGCGCTCGTCGGAAGATGCAAGTGCATTTCTGCGGCGTGTGCGACACGGTCTCGGACGTAGCGGAGCGTGTAGCATGTAGCGTGGCGGGATCTCGACGAGGGAGAGAGTGAGAGGACTCACGCACACGAGCAAACCGACGCTCGCGTGCACCTCCGGGCCGCAAAGGCGCGTATGACACGACGAAACGACACTCGAGCGCAACTGCGCAGTTCACGCGAGTGCGAGCTGCACGGGGGTGGCTGCGACCGCAAATCGGAAACGTTTACGTTGCCTCGGTTACTACTCGAAGACCGAATTAATTAGAGAGAGAGAAAGAAAGAGAAAATAATTATGATACTTGCACGAAATATATCCGCATTGTTCGAGCGAATCAGTAACAATTACCACAAAATATGTCGTTGAGATAAACACATGTCAAATCAGCACATGAATATGTTAAAAAATTAACACAAAAATTGCAATAAGAACAGATTTTAACACGAATACAGAATGTTCTTCTACTGTGTGGTATTAAGTGATTTGGTTGCAGCAACCAAACAATTTAGTTGAAACTATTTAACCAACATTTTGGTAACAATCAAATCCTTCTTCCAGTGTTTCGTTTCTTATCAAATCCTTCTTCCAGTGTTTCATCTCAACGTGAAATTCCACCTATAAATTCGAGCTGTGTCAATATTTGAAAACAATATTTAAGTATTCTGTTAAATCGTGACGCGTTCTCAGTGGAAAATTGGCAGTGTCGCGCCGTATCGCGCGACGCGTTAACGAATGAAGAGATTTAGTTGGCGCGCGCAATAGAGTACCGAGAACGGAGCTATCGTCGGTATTGACGATAGATAATATCGCAAAGCATTATCGATATTGTCGGGCTCCGGCTGTTCGCAGACGGCGGTAATAGACGGACGGAATAATAACAACGAGAGCCGCGCGCAGTGTCAAAGATCAACTTTAATCATTCTGACGAACTAAAAGCGGCATTAATGAGCGCGGACGCGTTTATAAGTAATTAGGATGAGTGATAGACGGACATGAGCTTGACTGGGCTGAGAAGGGGGAAGGGGGGGGGGGTGAGAAAGAAAGAGAGGGTTCAGGCTTAATTTCGCGATAATTCGCGACGACGCGAGAGCGATATTCATCGACATCGGCAGCCTCGCTACGGCTGGTTAAGTTTTTTTTTTTTATACGGCCAATGAATGGGTGAACAGAGAAACAAGAGCGCACACAATACGCCTCTATTGCGCGAGCTGATTCACAATGCATACGCGATGCACCGCCCGGCCGCTACAATGCGGCTGCATAAATAAATATGAGCATTTGGTGCTCGCGCGCGCGAGCACGGTGGCACACACGCACAATGCGCGCGAAAAACGGAATCCCGTATTCAGCGCGAATCGAAAAGGAAGTTCACGGTTATTATCATATTAATGTCATTCTCTTTTATTATTATACGCGGAGCTCGATCGATCACGCGCGTACGCGGAGATGAAGCGCGACGTTGCACGTCAGGATTGAAAGCGATCTAACAGTCGAATGTCCGGGAATCGCTTTATCGATTCGTTCACGATACCTCTCACATGAAAACTTGGAAAAGAGAAAGGATATTAGTGAATATGTCACTGATTGAATCAATTGGACAGCATTTCGCCGATAATCAGTGAATATTCGATAATTTTTGGCGGAAACCAAATTCCATTTAGGTCTTCTCTCTCTTCTTTTTTTTTTACGGATTTTAGCCATATACAGTGAAAAATTCACTGCAAATCGCTGTTACACGTCCCGTAGCAGAAACATAAATACAAATACATATACAAAGTTATTCATAAATGCATGTCCATATTTCACAGAATAAATCTACACACTAGAATGAGTAAAAAAACGTCATATCAACGTCATGTCCTACATATCTTAGTTTACGAGTTATGGGTGATTAAAAAAAATGTTCGAAATGTCCGCCTGTCGTGCGTCAACACACGCTACTGCATACCTTAGCAAAAGGTGTGTCTTGATCTTATCTAATGTTTACAAATAATATCCATCAATATGAATCAGACGTGTCGATCCATTACATTTTTATTTTTGAGGCTATTTAAAGAAAAGTCTATTGTGTATGATCACTGCTCATTGTTCATTTGCGAAAAGGGATACAAGATGGATTTCAGACCGTTCTAAGAATTCCTGGTATTTTCGAATTAATGCTCAAGGCATGCAGTAACGTTAACGCATAAGGCGGATACTTCGAACATTTTCTTTAATCATCCATAATACGAACACTAAAATATGTAGGATATATGTTCATGACATGACGTTCTTTACTTATTTTTGCGTAGATTCATCCCCTGAAATATGGACATGCATTTATGAATCACCCTGTATATATTCAAGCACATATCATATTTGTAATAGTTTATATCACATAGCAAGCTCAAGAGCAGATGTATCGGGTTTTCGAGTTCCATCAGAGTAAATCTATTTTTCAAATACTGCAATAAATGATGTAAATTAAATTAATTATAAACATAACTATCTATCTCTTTCTCAAATTTTATTGACGGAAATTGCTGCTGCTGTTTTTAAGGGACTTTTTCAGCGAAATTTTACTGATTTGCAGTGTTATGTTTACAACTATATGACCACCGGTAACTAATGGATTGCTTCTCAATAATACACTGATTGCACTTTAGAGAATAGTTTGATCGATTCGTCATCGGCGAAGTGCACAAGTTGTACTCGGGCGAATTTCGGTCGTTGTGGTGGAGAAGCGCGGATTCGCATGTGGGTCAAATGGCCTAAAGAGAGCGCGATCGCGTGCCATTCGATGGACGAGCGTGGCCGCAAGAGCGAACGGATTAACGTCAGGAGTGGAGCGCGACATTGGATACATCAGACGTAGGAGTTAAAGGCCAGGTGAATCCGGCCGGTGCGTCGAGAATGACGTTACAGGGAGATGACATTACCACTACGGAGAGAGTGGAAACCGGAGTCGGCGAGATGTCCGACCGTGTGCACCTCGATATCGACGTTTATATCGCGCGTCAATCATCGCAAACGCCAAAACAGCTGTGTTTCCATGAAACATCTCCATTGTCGTGAGATTGTAGCTTCGATACATCTTCTCCCGGTAGGAAAACCAATTGTGTTATCGTTACACAAGCATACATAGAAAAAAGTGCTAGATTCGAGTAAATAATTACTCCAATACTCTTTAAGCAATATTCACTTGATCCAGGTGAAATATTTTCCAAGAAAATGATCCGAGTAGAATACTCGATCAAAATAAAATTTACTTCATCCAAGTAAAAATTTGCCGAGGACTGTTAGAGTAATTACTTGCTTGAATCTAGCATTTTTTTCTATGTACGATTTGCTCGACGTCAAGCACATATAAAAGGAATACGAATCTAATATTTTCTGCTGTTCTTTGCAACACACATCCAGAGCCTGTAAAGGCCAAAGCATCAGGGACACTTCCGAGGGCACCTCCGATGCAGTACGTGACAGTTGGATACACGGCAGCGTGACTTTGTGGCAATTAGTGCGATAAGACTCGTCAGACCTTTCGGTGACTTTCTGATAAGTTGTCCCTAATGCGCTTCGTCCGAGTTGCACAGGAAATCAGTGATAAAAGAACCCATGGTCGCACAATCTGTTACTAATGAGTTTCGTTTGCACTTGAGTTGCACAGGAAATCAGTATACGCAAAGCAGATAGGAAAAGCCAGAAAGCAACGTAACGATACCAAGATCTACGATCGCGAGCAGGGCGGAATCGCGGGCCGAGGCTCTCGCGCAACACTATGCCCGCCACGCTCCTCCTTTACCTTCCGACACAGTCCGCCGTCCTTACCAATCATCATCCGCGATAAATCGATCGGCTTCACGGGCTTTCGCGATCGCCCGCCGAGTCGCAAACGCGACTCTCCTAACGATCCACGGCGGATAAGTACCGGCCTGCCGGGTGCTGTGCAATTTTCCACCGGCGGTGGAAAAATCGTGATCGCGAAATCTATTAGTCGCGGATGCAAATGTCGGCTTAATAACCGCCTGCGCGCTCGTC